AGACCTGTGCTTGAGGTGGGAGAGTGGAGGATCCTGAGTGATCACCTGTTTATCCTCACCTTTCATTGTTTTACTATTACTAGTTTAAACCCGACCTTCCTTCTCCTACTCTAACAGAGTCCCTGTTCGATGTATAACAGTATACTTTTAAAAAATGCAGAAAAATGCATTTGTTTCATACTTTAATTGCTACTAAAATTAACTGCTAATACCATACATAATATATTTGAAGAAATGTTGTTTTATGGTTACAGAAATGTATATTAATAATCGTACTTAAAAAAAATGTGCTGTTGCAAAATATATCCGCGCGCCTTTGGTACTAAAAAAATCATATAGTATACAGTACAGTAGATATTGGAAGTCATCCCCCTCCCCTTCCACCACAAAAAATAAAATTAAATAAAATCTACGCCAGTGCTTCATACGCATAAACTTCTTCATATCACATATCAAGCTCTTCAGGTAGTTCTTCATTATGGTAATTTTATCACCGAACAGCTGGCGGATGTGTAGGTATTCTGTTCCCCTTCATGTAAATCCATTTTCTACCACGAGACATTGCTGGTGCATTCGTCTAGCCTCGTCCTACCACAGTCATTGTCCCACACATAATACACACTATCTTTTCCCCTCTTAAATTTGACAAAAGGAGAAAAGAAATGTTCGTATGCTGAATATACTACCCGTGAATCTCCCCTCAAAAGACAAAGGGAGTGTGTGTTCTGGCCTTCACCCCGTCCATCGGGTATTGTTCCACATGTCTAATATCGCTCTACGCCTCTGAACGTCCCCCTCTCCTCCTCACATCTGCCTCTCGTTCCTTTCGTCTCCCCTCACCCCCTTCCCACACCCCTACCCTCAACTCCCCTCACATTCTTCTAGTATTACGTTTCTGCCGTGATGGTAAGCTGACAGGAGAAGCCAACTTACGATTATTACAACAGCGATGTGACGCCAAATAACTGTTTGTTTTCCTTTTTTATTTGGCTTTTTTCTGTAAGACCTTCCATGATGGAATATTTTGCATTTTTGACCCGTCGTTACGTTTATGATTTGTATTATTGAACTACTGTTACTGAAAGGTACAAATTTATGTGGTGAACCAATGCACTTATTGTTATCCACCTGCAGCCGAGCGTAGAACCTATCCATCCGTCCTTGTGTCCGTCCCTCCTTCCCCACCAACGCTTCTCATTATTATCGTCTGAACCACTTCACCGATTGACTTCAAATTTGACATGGAGAATCATTACAGCGTCCTTCAGAATTGATTAGCGTATGGACACAATCCAGTGGTTGTCCGTCTATCCCTTGCTCTTAGTTGGTCTGTCCGTACGTTTGGGAGTTGTAAGCACGATTTTCTGAAAATACTTATGGAATTCTAACGAAACTTGGCATTCAGATTTATCACAACAAGATCTCGATCAGTGATCAGTGGTTGTGTCATTATTATTCAGTTACGACCCGCTGGACTGGTGAAACGCTGCTTGACACTTGCCCGCCTCTACTGACAGCCTTGTTTATCATCAGGCTGTTGATGCACTTTGGGGGACAACTAAATTAAACTTTAATGTTTATATTTCAAAAGTAATAAACGTGTTTTTCTTACGAAGTTATTGTGTCTCACGCCTGTCCCAACCTACACACCCACAAGCCCACATAAACATATACAAATCCACACACGCCAAGAAAAAAAAAAGCGCAGATTTAGTCAAGTGCGGGTTTTCAACATTCTGTCGACATGTTCTTCTTCATATAATATTATCGGCACTAAGCACGTGCCCCTTGAAAGCACAAGTTAAAAAACAATGCAAGAATGACATTGTTATTGTACACGCCCCCCCCCAGGTGTCAAGCGTAGTGCTGGACGATATACTGTATACTGAACGTCACACTACATGTGTACAGGTATATTAGTGTTCATAACACTAAACATATAATAAAGTGTTTGGTTGACATTTAAAAATACTGAACATTTGTTAGTCATAATCACATTAAAAATTACGCAACCTCATAATTTATCAATCCCTCGACTGTACAAATAATGAATCCTTCAACTCTACAGAACTGAAACACTGGCAAATAGTGGCACCTGCAGACGGAATGGGAGAGAGGGTGGTGTACTGTGGAGTCCCTACATAATGAGGGACTCTAATGTACTGTACTGTACAGTTCAGGCGTGTGGGGGCCCTGGGCACCACATTGCTTTATTTTAGTAACACACCCACAAGCCATTGTGTTATTAAGTAAAACGCCCTAAAAAAACACTGAGTATCCTCGACCTAGAATATGGGAAATATATTTTTACCTTAAGCTCTAAGTAACCCCTAGGGTTGCCAACTACATACAGCAAAGGAAAACTCATTAGCCAGTTACATAATAAAAGAAAAACTTAAAGAAGCGATTTTTTTTTCTATTTTTAAAGTTGGGTGCCCTGTTCAGCCACGCACTCTGAACATCCCAAAATCCGTCACTGATTATAAGTAAAAAAATATAAAATGCAGTACATGTTTTTGCCAAACCACTTAGTCACTATTGTGCCTAAATTTCAGCTTCCTAGCTTAAAAAATGCCCAGTTATTGCCCACAACTATGAAAACAACAAAATATGCGTAAAATCCAAAAACAAAAACAAAAAATATGCCAACGCACTTTCTTAATATTGTGTCCACATTTCAGCTTTTTAGCTCAAAGTGCCTAAATTATACGAAGGAAGAAGGGTTCCCTAGTTCCTCGGGTTCGATCCCCGAGTGACCCTACCAAACATCGTGGGTTTTCTCAGGGTATTCCACTTTGCTCCTGTACTAACACTGGAGAATAAAGGTGGTAACAGACAACAAACCGACCGCCCGAACGGTAAGTAGAGTATTAAGAGATGGCACTGACTAATCACTCTGGACCTCCTCTACTAAATTTCCAAAGGTCGTCGGGTATCCCTGGACTCCCCAAATCCCCCAGCCGAGTCAGTGCACAGGGACACTCGTAAAACATGACTTAGCCTCTGCTATTACTGTTACAGCCCGATTCAATGTCACGAAGTGTAAGAGGATGCACCTGGGGCGTACCAACGGTAAGGAGGCGTACCATATGTCCCAACGGGATGAAGAAAATGTACTAGTTGAGACTGTGTGTGAGAAGGACCTAAGTGTGTATGTTGACAATGAGCTGAAGTTCTCGGGCCATTGTGAGAAGAAGGTAAATCAGGCAAATAAATTATTGGGTCTTATAAGAAGGTCGTTCAGATATCTAGACGGTCCGTCCCTCGTGACGATCTTCAGGAGTGAAGTGCTTCCCCATCTGGAGTACTGTCACCCCATCTGGTCCCCGAGATATGCTAGGGACTGTCAGTTGGTTGAAAATGTTCAAAGGAGGGCCACCAAACTGGTGCCTGCACTTCGGCATCTCAGCTACCCTGAGAGATTGGAGCGCCTGAACTTGCCTAGCTTATACTACAGACGGGCAAGGGGGGACCTAGTTGAGGTTTATAAGCATCTCAGGGGGCACTACTCAGTTGAGTGTCCTTACTTGGAGCTGGCGGACGCTCGCCCCACAAGGGGTCACAGCTCAAGATTGAAGAAGCCGCAAGTCCAGAAAACCGTGAGGGCAAACTTTTTCGGAGTGAGGGTTGTAAACTCTTGGAACAATCTACCAGAGTGTTGTGACGGCACCGAGTGTGAGCTCTTTCAGAGAAGACTTGACCAACACTGGAGCGGGTTCAGGTACATTCAGGAGCCGGTGCATGCCCAGTATTTGCCAACAGTGCGTGACAGAGACGTGACCGATCGCCCGGGCGGCTAGCGAGCCGACTTTTTGGTGAAGAATATAAAGGAAAAGAGACGTGACCGATCGCCCAAGCGGCTAACAAGCCGATCAGTGGCGAAGAGGATGAAAGTGAAAGAAAGTGAAATTAAATAATGGACAAACACAAGTGTATTTACCTTAAAGTAAAAGCAAAGATTCTCCAGTATATCAGAACTACACAGAACTATACACAGTACAAGAATCGACTCTGCTAGCTGACAGGTTACCGCTGTATGCACTGTTTACACATTCAGGTACAGTCAACTTCTAATGTCCGTTCGTCTCTTCACCTGAAACACGAGATTCAGACTCGTGAAACCGAAGCATTTTATGGACATAATAGTTTGATTTCTTCGTCTACAAAGCATGTTGACATGAAATTACAGCCATATGATCAGTTTTCCGTGTGTTTTACCCCATATTTCCCTCAGCTTTCATGCCCTGCCCACTACAGGCGATTTGTGATTGAACGTAGAGAAAAACGAGAAAAAAAATCAAGCAAAACTGAAGTAAAAGGATGTCGTAGCGTTTTTATTACTTACTATCATCAAACAAGACCTCTAGAAAAATGGACGAATTCTATAAACTGTCTCCTCCACTATTACCTAATTTTGTAATCTGTTGTTTCTGATTAGTTCCCTAGTCAAAGCAAAGGAGCCTTCTGGAAATAAGCACAATGTGGCTTTATTGATTGCCGTTAGCTGAATTTACTTATTTAATTTGTTTACCATTATATGTATACCCGCACTATTATGTACAGTCGCGGACGTAAGTTCGACCCCTGTAAATGAATCACATTCTCCGATTTTACTATGGCTGTCGTATGATGAGGATGTGGTTTTATCTCATTTGGGATTGACGATGTTTTACTGTAAACTTGCGTTGTATATATTTAAGTTAATTCAATTTAAACTTGGATGGCGACTTTACTCAATGAATATTATCAAGTTTATCCATAATATGGCTCGTCAGCAGTTATAATGTAAGTTACCCCTGAAAGTATAAGTTGCGTTAAGAACCGTTTTCTTTAGTTTAACAGCTTTATTATTATTGTTTTCATATGAAATGTTAAGAAACTAAGTGCAAATATACAATTAGTGCATATTTTTATTAAATTTTTGAGTAATAATTAAATCTGTTTTAGTGACTTCTTCAATATCGTCATGTTGATATTTGACAACGTTTGTTTACCTGATCTCACCGTGAGCAATTGTTGTGTTGTCGCTGTGTTCTGTACTTCTACAATATTTCTTCTTTATTATCTTTAGTATTGTAACACAACCACCACGATGGCTGCTCCACCAGCTGCTCTCCTTAATAAAAACAAGAAAAACTTCATAGGCATGCCAGCGCCGCTGGGATATGTAGCAGGTGTTGGCCGAGGGTGAGTTGAGGTGCATCTAGCGTGTTGTAAGCGATTTTGGAATTAGTAACCAGGGTTAGGGTAGTCTTGCGGTCAGGTTAGGTTAGGGAACTTGGTTGACTCGGCTACGTGGCGTTACTAAAGGACTTGTAAATTTTCACCAAATAAAAGTTGCTTATTATCTCAAGTTAACCTTAAGGAGTAAACTTTCATTAGAATTTGATGACGGACTACCCTTTAAGTATTAGCTAATGTTAATAATTGATGATGCCTGCACAGTTCAACCACTCTATTTTCAGCAAATCTTATACCCTATATTGAAAACTTGGTAAAGGTGGAGCAACGGTTTGCACCAGATATAAATTATGAATTTGAACCAAAATTTCTATTGATACTATTTGCATGGTGATGTAACCAACGAAACCTACCTAACCTTACGTAACTTCATAGCCGGGGGATCCCCCAGCATATTAGGCAGAATGAACCTACTTTGATATCTGGTACCAATGAAATCAACTATCTTAACCGGCACGGGAGTGGTGATGATAGGTCCCACATGACTTTTGTTGTATTCACAGAAACTTAAAAACAAACTGCACGAGAGGATTAAAGCAGTTTTGGATCAGTTTATAGGTACACTTGTCAACAGAAGTCCTGGTGCCTTGCCTGCCTCTTTATGAACCCAGAGATTCAGAGACCTCATAAGTTTCTCAATCATATTGGTGTAGCATTATGACAGGCTTTCAGTGTGGGTGTAGTTACAAAGCTTCCCTGAAAATGGCTGTTGACATGACAGTCATTTGGATGTTTCATACCCACCTGCCACATGGTTCACAGTGGTCATGTCAATAAACACTTTCTTCATATCCTGCAAATATGCCTTCTTTTTATATATATTATAATGATGATTTTACCGTTTCAGAGCAACAGGATTCACCACTCGTTCTGATATTGGTCCAGCACGTGATGCCAACGATGTCTCGGACGACCGACATGCACCACCAAGTAAGCGAAAGAAAAAAGATGATGATGATGATGAAGATCTGAATGATGCCAATTATGATGAGGTAAAAACTATATGAAATTACTCGTTTTCATAAGATCCATTTGATCTTGTACAATAGCATTCTTCATGCATTATTTCCCCTTAAAGCAATCCACTTTTCCCCATTGTTTTGTTTGAGATGGTTGAAAACTACATGACCTGTTGTAATTCTTTTTAAGACTTGTTTGTTTATAGTAAGTAACTATTTTTCTGGAATGCAATTTATTACATCTTAGTATAATTTGTTGCAAAAGTGAGTAATCTTATTTATTGTTACCCTTCCAAAAAATCCCTGCCAATTTGGGAGATACTTTATATTTCATAGTTATGTAATGTGCTGCATTATTTAATGGTGTTGTGATCATAGAACACTGTACACCATGAATTGTCCAGGACATGTATCTCCCCCATCAAGATGAATGAGACTAAAAAAAAGAAAATGCAGTGAAGATGGGATGTGTATACAGTATATAGAATATATACATAGTGAGTTTGGGGACCTGTGAAAGACAGGTGCAGTACCGACCTGTATGTTACTGATGGCTAAAACTTTGAGAGTTGTTTCCATTTGATCAACAATGGATGTGAACATATCATAGAGTTGCTGCTAAAATGAAGAGATATTTTTCATGTACAGTCCGCTCAAAAAAGGATCTGAAAAGTGCAGTCTGAGGGATGTTAAAACGAACAATACAACCACTGTTGTCTGGGCACTGTTGCCTCGGTGTTGGGGGCGTGAGTAGTCGTAGGTGCCGCAACTGCTTATAACCAGGGTAGATTATCTTTATAATTACAAGTATCCATCGACATGTTAACTGTAAACATTGCATTATAGTCATACCTGTATGAAAACAGTATAATCACCATACATAGATGTTTGATACCCTATGTGAAACACAGTATCGATGACAGGGTAAAGTTACCATGTTGCTATGAACCCAAACAATGTGTTCTGGACATGGGAGGTGGTTACACCAAATATTTATTCAATAAACGTGAGATGCCATTACTGTTTACCTTACCTATTAGTATAACATACCCTAATATCTAATACATGTATGCATACCAAATGCTACGTATTGATACAGTAAGCACATGCATTTAATTGTTGTTGCGCAGAGGAACATTTAAGCATTACCACGCACATATTGTTTACTGTATGTGTCTAACATGGATAATGTCTTTTAGACTGCCATTTCCTGTTAATATAACCATAATAATTATATTCATATAAAACACGTTAATGACAAACGGCAGGAAACGTCTTATATATTACTTGGCAGCCATTGTGGCATGCAGGGCTACCACCTCTACGCCTGGTCCGCTACCATTTCCCCAAAATATACATTCGATGTGTCATATTATCATGAGCAATATTTTTCAGATACTTTTTTGAGCAAATGTACCTGCAGCTCTAACATTATTTATACTGTCAGTATCTTCCTTACTTTATTTTACTCTTCCTTTGTTTATATGGTGATGTTACTCATCAATTACTTTCATTTTTAACATCTTTTTTTCTTAAAGTATTACTGCCATTAAAAAAATCTTATTCATTTCATGGAATATTCAGTCTATTTGGTAATACTGTACAGCATTGACTGCCAACTCAAGAGAGGGTTACTGGAGCATTACATATTTGCTGTAATGACTGCCAATTCAATTACTTATACTAACCCTTTGGTAGACAAGGAGGTAGCATGGCCAGTGCTGCACTCGACCACATTCACTTCCCCAAGTTGTAAACTTAGGTACCCATTTACACCTGGGTGAACTGGTAGTGTCCGGGGATCGAACTACTGACCCCTGGAACAGGAGGCAAGTGCTGTAATCAATCAGTTGCAGCACTCCAACAAAATAGAATTAAAGAGTACTAAATATTATCTCATTATTATGGATGAGCCAGTTATTCTTGTTAATTACAATAATAAATGTTATCTACATAGATTTGTTTGTTCCTTTCAGTTTAATGGTTATGGAGGATCACTATGTAGCAAAGATCCCTATGATAAAGATGATGAAGAAGCTGATGCCATTTATGATGAAATTGACAAACGAATGGACGAGAAAAGGCGGGAATATCGTGAACAACGACTGAAGGCTGAACTTGAGAACTATCGTCAGGAGCGCCCCAAGATCCAGCAGATGTTTACCGACCTTAAGCGAGAGCTAGCCAATGTGTCAGAAAATGAATGGAGCACAATTCCAGAAGTAGGCGATGCAAGGAATAGGAAGCAGCGTAACCCAAGATCAGAGAAGTTTACACCCTTACCTGATAGTGTTCTTTCACACAACCTTGGCGGGGAGAATGTGACCACTATAGATCCTGGCTCTGGACTTGCTTCAATGATGCCTGGGACATCAACCCCAGGAATGCTGACCCCAAGTGGTGATCTTGACCTACGTAAAATTGGACAAGCACGTAACACCTTGATGGGTATGAGACTGAATCAAGTGTCAGATGCTGTGGGTGGTCAGACAGTGGTGGATCCCAAAGGCTATTTGACTGACCTCCAGAGTATGATCCCACAGTATGGAGGGGATATAAATGATGTGAAGAAGGCAAGGTTACTTCTGAAGTCTGTTCGAGAAACAAATCCAAATCATCCTCCTGCTTGGATTGCATCAGCACGTCTTGAGGAGGTGACGGGCAAAATTCAGTCGGCTCGGAACCTTGTTATGAAAGGTTGTGAGATGTGTCCCAAGTCAGAAGATGTGTGGCTTGAAGCAGCTCGACTTCAGCCTCCTGATATGGCTCGTGCTGTGATTGCGCAAGCTGTTCAGACACTCCCTCATTCACCAAGAATATGGATCAAGGCTGCTGATCTAGAGTTAGAGTTAAAGGCAAAGAAACGAGTATATCGTAAGGCCCTGGAACAGATCCCTAACTCTGAGCTTTTGTGGAAACTAGCTGTTGAACTGGAAGAGGAAGAAGATGCTAAGATTCTTCTAAGTCGAGCTGTTGAATGCTGTCCCACATCAGTAGATCTGTGGTTGGCCTTGGCACGATTAGAAGTATATGAAAATGCCAGAAAAGTTCTTAACAAAGCACGTGAAAATAACCCAAAAGATCGTCAAATTTGGATCACTGCAGCTAAACTAGAGGAAGCCAATGGTAACAATGCTTTGGTTGGCAAGATTATAGAACGAGCTATTTCGACACTACAAGCTAACATGGTTGATATTAATCGGGACTTCTGGATCAAGGATGCCATGGAAGCAGAGCATGCAGGAGCTGTTCTGACTTGTCAGTCCATTATCAAAAATATAGTTGGTTATGGAGTTGAAGATGAAGACAGGAAGCATGCATGGATGGAAGATGCAGACAGCTGTGCCACTCAGGGTGCCTTTGAATGTGCACGTGCCATCTATAGTCATGCTCTCTCGGTGTACCCCAAGAAAAAATCTGTTTGGCTGGCTGCTGCACACTTTGAGCGTAGTCATGGAACTAGGGAATCTTTAGAAACTTTACTGCAGCAGGCAGTGACACACTGCCCACAGGAGGAAACACTCTGGCTTATGGGTGCTAAATCCAAGTGGCTTGCTGAGGATGTTCCAGCAGCTCGGTCAATCCTTGCATTAGCCTTTAAAGCCAATCCAAACTCTGAAGAGATTTGGTTAGCTGCCGTCAAACTGGAATCTGAGAATAACGAGTATGAGCGAGCTAGGCGTTTGCTTTCAAAAGCTCGTTCTCAAGCAGCCACTGCCAAGGTCATGATGAAGTCTGCTCACTTGGAGTGGGCACTGGGTAATTTGGATTTAGCCAAAACTTTACTTGATGAAGGTATCAAAGAAGTGGGTGACTTTGCTAAACTGTGGATGATGAAAGGACTGATCTTAGAACAGCAGGGTCAAAAAGATGCTGCATGGGAAGTATATAGGGATGCTGTTAAACGATGTCAATCATCTATTCCTCTGTGGAGGTTATTGGCATCTTTGGAGGAACGGCAAGGAAGACTAGTTACTGCAAGAGCTACTCTGGAGAAGTCAAGAGTTAGAAATCCAATGAATGATGAACTGTGGTTGATGGCAATTCGTCTCGAACTTAGAGCAGGTCAACGTGAGGTGAGTCGATCACTGATGGCACGTGCACTTCAGGAATGCCCTACTTCTGGCATCCTGTGGGCACAAGCAATCTTCCTAGAGGATCCAGCACAGAGAAAGAGCCGAAGTGTAGATGCCCTTAAACGTTGCCAGGATGATGCACACGTTGTGCTAGCTGTTGCAAAAATGTTTTGGATGGAGGGCAAAAAGAACAAGGCCCGGGAGTGGTTTAATAAGACTGTCAAAATTGATCCAGATCTGGGTGATGCTTGGGCTTGGTATTACAAAATGGAAATATTATTTGGCTCAGAAGACCAACAGCTGGAAGTAAAGAAACGGTGTATTGCAGCTGACCCACACCACGGTGAGCATTGGTGTACACTTTCTAAACTTATTCATAACTGGAGAAAGAAGACCCCAGAAATTCTTCAACTTGTTGCAGACAAACTACCTATTCCTGTTATGAACAGAGAAGTTTACTAGGGTGACAATTAGTGTATATTATATCTAGTATTAATAGTATTTAATTTATATTACAATCATGTACAGTGGAGTCTTTATAATTTGCGTATTAGGTACCAGAAAACAACATGAATTTTCAAATCGCTAATTATATTTTAATTACTTTAAATTTATATTAATTTGTTTGATTCCATAGGCCAAGAAATACTCAAACTATTCCAAAACTGCTTTTAATAAACACTAATCATCATACATAATAAATAAAAAATTACAGTAACTCATAGATATTGTACAAAAACATTTGTTCTATATTAAATAAACAGCTCCTTTTCTTTTCATAATTTTATGTGGGTTATGCCAGTACACCAACATGGAGACAGGCAGGTGCTAGGCTGGCTGTGACCACACTATATGTACAGTACTTCCGAAGCAAGTACAGATAACCAGGGCGGGTCACTCACCATGCTGCCACAACAATGTCGACAAAGAACCAAGAATTTAGTAGTACCACAAATAACCCGACTTTTTTGGGGGGGGGTTTATTAACCTGGTACCAAATAAAAGTAAATAATATGGGAATTATTGTGAAATTGCAGTGTTATATTAATGAGGTCAGATATTCACCATTTGGGACTACCGGGTATGTGTATGGGAGTGTTTAGTCCACCAGCCAACTGTCCTGCCTCCCACAAACAATTCACTTACTACTTTTCATTTGTCTTATTTTATAGTTTTTTTTATACAGTATTATATTTTCTTTATTTCTTATATTGCTACAACCTTTATGGTTTCTTATGTAAACAAACACTGTGGCACTCGGCTGTAAATTTGAATATAGTGGTCCCTCAGTTGACGAGCACAATCCGTTCTAGAAGGTTGCTCATTAACCAAAAAACACGTTAACCGAAACCACTGTTTCAATGGGTTTTTGGGTAATTGGTTCCAGCTCACCGAAAATTGCCTAAATTCACAAAAAAAAAGGTAGAAAAGTACACTTACTTTGAGGTGTGTATGTAGAAGGCTCCTGGATGATGATGATGGGAATCAGAATGGGGTGGAGGAGAAGGGAGAAGAGAAGGCATTGGGGTGGAAGAGACGTCACCCCATGGCGCCATTTTACCCATAAAATTTCAGTTCTCGGTGTAATTCAAGATTATTTTCTTTAAATCAATACTGCACTGCATAATATGTAAAATAAATTTAAAATGACTAATAAGTTGCTTGCAAACAAACAAATCGTTTAGTTGAAGAGAGTCTCAAGCAAGATGTTGCCTCCACTGAAAAGACACAAAGACTGACACCTGTTTGGTGTGTTGAGAGGCTGGATGGCGTGCATAAAACTAGTTTCCTTACCTTCAATTATGTTCAATAATTGTTAAAATGACTAAAAAAATTAATATTAAACTTAAAATTATTGAATAGTATAAACTTCTTGATATTTACTAAAATGGTAAGGAATATAAACCCTTGAACCGATTACTATATTGGCAGACTAATGCTACAGCTGGTGGACCGCCAAATGCAAGCGAAAACATGTTGAGGTTGGCTCGTAAGAAACTCATTAATCGAGGGATTGCTCGTTAACCGAAGTTAAGAATCTTATGGAAGGTAACTCAATAACTGAAATCTCGTTAACCGAGGGACCACTGTACCTGACAAGGAAATTTATAAAAGGTATACATACTGTAGTAACGGAGGTAATGGCGAATTTAAGAATGCATATTTGTATTTCGTGAACTATTGAGACTCCACTGTATAATTGAACTACACTACTGTACTTGTAAAGGTGTTTATAAAATTTCTGTTGTCACCCCATTCATTCATCTCATAGATCACACCCAAAGCATTATCAAAATACAAAGTAGAAATTTATAATGCACTTGATCACTTATTCATCTGCACCTCTGTACACTGTATGTATTGTTAAATAATTACTTGGTACAAAAGCACTCTTTAAATGCATTTCCCTTGTGGTACAATGTCAGCATTAATGTGAAAAAAATTTTTGCAAATAAACACACCAATAGAAGATTCACCGAGTGTTGAAAAAGCACTGCTATTGTAAATACTGAACCCTATTAGCTTTTCCCTGTAAAATATCTAACAAAGTGTAGAATTGTTACAGCAGTTAATGTAACAGTTTAGTTTGTTTAAATAAGCAAATATTGTATGTATCCTTTAATTTTTATATACAGTATATAAAAGATAACTAACTGCTTTTCTCATTCTATCCTTAAAACAAGGTTCAGTGTACAGTACACATCTCACACATCATTCAGGGGTAATTTTATCCACGTTGCCTACCGGTAGTTTGGATAATACTGTATACCACTATATGACGTTTCTATAGGTCTTCCATAGCAGTTTATATTTTGTGTAACCTTTCTGTTTTTAGTATTACTGTACTGTACATGTGGACATGTGAAACAATGAGACCAAATAATGGAAATGCGACCATCTTTGTAGGGTCTGTATTATGGGATAAAAACTTGAAGCATAATAATTCCTCTTGTTTCATTCAGTATTGAAGAATCTGATAGATTGTTGTTTTACTCAAAACCTAAAATAACATTGTGTATGGGCAGTCTGTGACTATGAACATCAGGAGTGAACTGAGCTTTTAAAATACTGTATGATATTCTGCATTTTGGATTGAAGGCCAAGTAGAGAACAGTTTTGTTTTAAAAACATCTTGGCAAGAATAGGTTGCCCACCCTCACAATGAGACAGTCTGGAAGAAAGAGTTAAGAACATAATTTTATGCTGTAAATTATTACCTCACTTGAGACAATGACTAATGTATTTACTCGAACATTGACCTAACTTACAGTAGCCTCAGAAAATTTACAACACATCTCAAGGGTTTGTCTTGCATCTCCTATTCTCCCCCGGAGTGCCTCATATATCATGGCAGTAACAGTAAACGAATGACAGCAAATAAAGGGGGTTTGAGAAAGCGAACACGTGCAAGAAAACTTATTTTTCTCAAATGAGCTTTTTCAAGCTATGATGCTGACCTGATTCTTAACACAGTAACATGCAGCTATGCCCAAAAAGGATGGAAAAATTAAAGATGTCTAGCAATGGTAACAATAATGAAACTAAGATTTGTTCATCTTATTAAACCCAATGAAATGTAGTTCACCCAAGCCACCTACTGTATGTTAGCTCCAGCCCATAAACGGTGGCCAACATCAACGGATGTTCCTTACATTCCATTTTTTTGTGTATATGAGGTGGATTAGGGTGTCCATATGAAATCTTTTTCCAAAACATAGGAAATATATTTATTGTCCAGCAAAGTGTCTTTACTAATTGTTTCATTTACAATCATAATTCCTTACCTGATGAAGTCATAAAAATATCTTCTACAAATCTGAGTCATGGAAGATTAGATAAACTCTTACTATCTCACAACTATTTTGACCCAAAAACTACAATATTCCAATACATTTAAGATTTTTTTACAACACGCTACAGTACAGTACTACCTAAATTTGTTAGTTTTCTCTACAGTACATAATCTCTAAAGCATTAATATGATATAAAATTAGTTTCTACAATTACAAACAATACATGTGAGTGTTCCAGTTTTTATTTTCAATAAATATTCAAATACAATAATGTAATAATGTACTGTAACTACAAACAGACAATATCTAAAAGTTCATGGTGAAAACTATCATACTACTCGTACATATCTTACAGTCTGCATTCAGTCCTGTAGTCATTACCCTTTAATAAACTTACTTTTAGTTGAATTTATACTGGCATAAAATGCACCTACCGTACCATGAGAGACTGGTGAACCGCTTGAGTACAGCATCATACCAAATGGTGTCATTATACTGTACTTAAGAAGTTACACATTCAAATGAAACAATGTCAAAGGTGGAATATGCAGATTGAAAGTAAAGTACTGTACCTACAAGATAGCCCAATATTACTATTTCATAACCCATATACTGTAACATTGAACAGTACTGTGCAACTTATTTTCAAATAATTTTTAATCTGTCATCAGTTTCATTCAGTCAAATACACCACAACAAATACATACATGGATATATGGCTACAGGCATCCATTACACTTAGAAATGCATTTCCTTAAAAACTTTTCAGTACAATGGAAAAGTAACATGGTTGTGGGTAAAATGGACCCAATCCTAGTAGGCCCCAATCTAACCAACTGAACTAGACAATCCTAATGATTAGGTTGGGGCCCATTTGAGTCATCATACAACACAGTTACATGGCATCCCTCTAATGCTCTTTATCTGAAGATTGCTCTCTGGTCACTTAAGTCTGCACCTTATTTTAAATCTTTCTTTTTTTTCATCCTTGTAACTATGTACTTAATAATCTCACCTTTCTTTTGATTTATTATTTCACCATCACAAAACTTTTTCTGCCGTCATACTGTATAGGATGGTTGTGCAGATGCTGTTACCACTTCCTAACATTTAGCAATTAATGAATTACCCAACTGCCTTAACAGGATGTTATTCCACACAAGGGTTGTTCCATCATCTGCACCTGCACTCTGGGTGGGAATTGACCCAAAAACCCATCCCTTGTGAAGAGAACACTACAGTGTATCACTGACTTACAGAGAAGCAGGATTTTGAATAAATTATACTTGGCATTCAGATCTTTGGGTACCAACATAAACAAAGTTATATTCAGACATAAACATAACTTCTTGTAAAATTCAAAGTAAAAATAATGCTAGAGTACAATAAAAACCTTAAATGTCTATCCTCTGATCCCTGCATGTGGCCTACAAGAGCGTCATTCCACCATGTGAGAACTCCATCTGGATAGCAGGTTCTTGGAAGGCCAGCCAGTCAGAGGCATGGGTTGGAAGAATACCCATACTATGACATTTGTATACTGCCAGACCAACATTAACCAGATTACCCAACAGATAGATGAGTTTCTGTGAAAGAATGAAAAGAGTGGTTGATATATAAAGTCTGCCTTTGTTTATAAATATTAACCACAATAAATGTTAAGAATATGACTTAATGATACCTACAACACAAAATAAATTACTGCATTCAGTTAATGCAACAGAGACCATATCACTTATTTATCTTAACTGAATGAGAATGGATAATACAGAAGTTTGATTATGAATCAGGATCATAAATGAGCAAAGTTGTACATTAGTGAAGTCAATATTTTATGGGAAATAATCGGTTTAGGTTCAGGCACCTACCAAAATGACACCCACAAAAATAAAAAAATAAATAAAAAACCCTGAGGGACCAACACTTTCTGCAGTGCAATTGGTTGCATCACTGCTATTTCATGGGGGATATTTCTTCTCTATTGCAGCACAGCCAGTTACATGATGTGAGATGAAGGTTGGGCAGATCAGAGCAAGACAACACATCATATGTTAACTTTGTTTATTACAGGCAAGAGCACCAATAAGCAGCCACCTTGTGAGCATAAAGTGTCATGGCAATGTGGTACAGTACATTGTTTCTATTACCCTGTACAGTACTGTAATAGATATTACAGGAAATCATTTAAAAAATTCTTTGACTAACCATTTCATTGTCAAGTCTATCAATCACATTGTGATTTCCCTACAAAAAATGTGTCTGGGCAGCAAAACATCCATATTGACTTCATTTACATTCTGCAAAATCAGCATCATACAACACAGGTATTACCCAACTTACATAATGATTCCATTCCTAAAAAATCTTTTATAATTTACTTTTTTATATACTGAAGCTCATTCTCCCATACACTCTCAGTATAAAAGCTGAGATACATTTCTAAGATTTTTTTCCTCTTTGCAAAACATCTTAAAAGTGACATAATACAGGTACAGACAAACAGTACTGTATATGTTTTGAATCTCATTTGTTTGTGTAAAAAAGTATTATAAACTAATAAAAAAATACTGTAGTAAGTTAAATATATGTAGTACAGTACAGTACTGGAGAGTAAAAATTTCATAGCCGTACTTATGAGAGACTGGATGAGATTTGAAACAAAGTGAATAGCATGAAATGTTAAGCCAACATCTATAATACATATACCGTGCTGTACTAATGTAGTAATAATATGATGTCCATTACAATCTCTAAAAAAAACCAAAAAAAATCCCATGCTCGACCCCTGACGAGTTATTACATCAATCTAAATTTCCGCTGCTTTCTTTATACTGTATAGCACAGATGCTGCCATCAGCCAACAGCCACTACACTCTCACTCTCTCATGTGTTGCCAGCAACATTTACACTTCCAAACTTTTGTTCACTTCCTAGTCCCACAATTTCTTTTACAACTCTACACCTTTACTGTACATAATTAGCAAAAGAAATGTAAGAAAACAGAAAGATTTTCTTTAGTTAAATTTTCCACATACTCTGTACAGTACTACACGAGTATAAATAACAAGAAATTGGACAATCAGGCAACGGACTCAGTGAGTGTGTGGTGGTAGGAACAAGACTGTGTCCATAATGAGACACTGAAAGCTTATTTGTAGACTTAATAACATTGCAAATATTAGAGAAAAAATTAATAAGTTGGTAAAACAAGTACAGTAAGCATACTGGTACGTAGTAAAAAACTACACTACAATTTTAGCATATTTTCATTATTACTTAAGAAAAATCAAGTTAACTTCGAGGTTTTTGTTCGTAAATCAAAGAATTGGAAAAAAAATTTTAACTTTAAATTTATAGAAATCAAAGTGTCATAAATTGAGGACTGCCTATACTGTACTGTACTGTACATCATTTTACAGGGTTAGATTTTTCGACTGATGCTGGCTAAAAGATCCTGGCTGCCCTACAGTCCTGTCATGCTGGGCTAGAAATTGCCTATGGTGGCTATAGTACAGTACCATGGTTGTTAAAACGGTGCACAATATATAATGTGGATACTAAACACGGAGTTGGCAAGGGGTTACTGTGCACAGTTTCACTGACACATAAGTAATAAAGGTTAACATGGCAAGGTTAGGTTCTAGGGTCAAGACTCTTTCCTCTGGAGTACATCTCAGTTTATGATGGGTCTTATAGGTCTAATTATTGGGGGGGTGGAACACATCTCGACTCTTAACAAACACAATATCTTACTGTACTCAAGGGAAAAAGAGCTAGAGGTGCACTGGAGATAGATGGTGAATGGTAAAGTGTTAAGTCTTTTGGAATTCATGATTGGCTGTTTCCTGTAATCCCAATGAAAAAAAAGACAAATTTACCTACTGATCCAAAGTTATAAGAGCCAGTTCCCAGAGATATGTTTTTGTTTCTAATAAAAAAATTGGTATAAGAATTGAAGCATTTAACTCACCTGTAGGCCAGCATGTGTCCCCTCAATGGTTTTAAAAGTAGCATTTGTAGCCCAGAGTGCCTTGATTGGCCGCAACAACATCATGCCTACCATCATGATGGGAAATATACTGATGCTGCTTCCTGCCATGAACATCAAAAACAGGTTCATTGGTACCTGGAAAAGGAACATTTAAGTGGTAAAATACATGATCTAAGGCATATTTCCTTGACAGAAACACAAGAATGTTTTATAATTTGGAATCTATCAAGCCTTATATTTTAATAGAAATATTTTTTTTTCATAAAAAATAAATTAAGGTTGTGTCAAACACTTATTTTTTATTTATTTTTTTTAAACCAAGATATCAAGGTACCCATATTTGTACAGTGTAAAATATAACACAACTCAATTCTATACAGGTAGAGTATACGAATATTTGCTCTACAAATTTTCACTTACGTATATGAATACGTATTCTATTCTTACTACTGTACTGTATATGAAAGCTATTCTCGCTTATACAAATGATGGTCTGTTAATGTAATGTACCATACTAATGTGTTAGGTACTGCAATACAGTGGTTAAGTAGTAGATTACTAATTTACAGATGACAATCCTAATCTCTATGAATATGAACTGCTTTGCTTCTCACATGCACTACAAAAAAATTATTGTGTACCCAGTAGGGACCAAAAGCAAACAGTTCAACCTGATTATAATTGCAAGTTTACAATTACTACAACCAAACCAAAGTCAAACATAATCACAAACAACAGATGCTTCTGGTAGCTTGATAAGATAATAACATAAACACTTACAGACTTAAGAGGACTGAGTGCCGTGTCCCAGGCTTTCTTAATAACCAGGTTTGGGTCGCCCTGTCTGTTGGCCTCAGCATGAACCTGATTCACTGAACTTCTATAACCAGGCGGGGCAGGCAGGTTGTCACTACCACGCTCTCCTCTCCGGCCAGCCAAGTCTAGGGCCCATTTACGTCTGTGAGCAATAGCACGGTTGGCCATCTTGATGACTGTAACATAAAAAGAATCAGAACATGATAAACCTTCTTCAGTTCAAACATGTTAATAAAGAAGTGGTGCCCCAGGTATTTTTTTAATTACCCTTTCCTCAGTCATCACCTGTTAAGAATTTTTAAATTATTGGGGTGGAATGCCAAATAATAAAAAAATAAATAAAAATTACTTGAATTATAACCAGAAATGGAAAAGGGAACCAAAACAAACTAGCTAACTGAATTTTTTTATATACAGTATACAATTATAAACAAATTTCCAGTGATTCTGAAACTTACCTACAATTCAATTTATATTCTAAGTACTATGTGTAAACTGAACTACAGTACTGCGCTGTATAGGTCAAGACCGAACAGTATGTACAGTACAAGGTGATGAAAATTTTTTTGCAATTTCATAAAGTACTTCTGGTGCTAACCATCTTCTCCACCTTTACCAAAAAGTGTTTTAGAATTGTCTAATTCTAAACAATTGATTGCAAAGATAAAATTCCTAAGATTCTCTTGTTGTTTGAAGGTAAAATACTGTAATACCCATTTTATGAATACAGTGGATATTTTGCCAAAACCAATAGGTACTACCTGGGAAGACATTGTAAGCATCTTATTGCCTAATGGTAGACCCTGCTGCCATATGGCACCACAAAAATTGTGACAAAGTCCCAGGTTGCTGATCTGACCTTCTGCTTTATTTACACACAAATGCAGGGTTTCAGTTGTTTCTCTTACTTTGACAACACAACATACATGTATTGTTTCTCACAATTTATCTCTTTTTATTATTATTATTATTATTATTATTATTATTATTAATATATTTTCGCTACCTGGCAATGATGTGGGTCATTGACCTGTGCCTTGGTGGAGTAATCCCGTAAAAAAAAAGTTTCTATAGCACTATTTTACTAAGAGTGCACTCTGATTGGCTAAGTACTTTCTGTTTAATATGATGGGGGGTCCGCCCCCCGGCTTGGAAGTTAAGTAAGGATAGGTATGTTTCTTTGGTTGGTTAGGTCAGGTTCTATTAGGTTCTAGTAAATGTTGCCTCTTTTATAAGGATAAAGTTTCCATGCACAACAGAAATATGGTGAAGTATGTTTATAGTTACACAACGATTGACTCACGGCGAAATAAATGCCAAATGCTGCCAGTCACGGTCAACTATAGTTCTTGCATTGTTCGCCGGTGAAGGACGATTAGCCAATCAGAGCACACTCACGGTAAAATAGCGTTAATAGGAACTAAGCTGGCCATGGCAAAATATCCACTGCCTTTTATGGATGACTAATAGTGCACCTTAATATTATAATGTAAACAGTGGCACATATTATTTTACACTTGTAAAATACAAGATTACCTTGATTTCAATTAATTCACAGACAAATGTTATCGAATAACGGAAATTACAAATGCCATCCCGATGGACCAGCCCCCAGACCCTACTTCCCTCTGAGAGAGCTCCAGGCTAGAGTGACAATCCAAGCCTTCAAAATAAGTACTTTTTGCCGCTTCTTATCCACTCGGGTCACTGGACTACATCTGGCGCCTGTCAATAATCTTGCCAGGATTTCAGTGGCCTACATGAATTTTCTTTGCTCAGAGTATTCTTGTGCTGAGACACGAAATACCCGGTTTTCCAGTTAGTATTCTTTATATAACTACAAAACAAAAAATCTAATACTCACATAATTAATGAAAATATGTAAAAACTAAGAACTTCTACTGGCTCGTGTTTACCAAGAGTCAGCTGAGACTCACTGAGTGTCACTTGTTCGTCGTCGCCGCGGCAGCACATCCGGATTCGTGTTATGACGTCATCCCTCCATGACGCCAAGAACACTACTTCACAATGTGGTGTCTTTTATACCACACTACACTATCTAAAGCCTACTTTTAATCTATATAATTATCTTTTCAGTAAATACAGAATTAAAAAATTAAATCATATATATTAATTGATTTCTTTAAAATCGAGAATATGTACAAGGTTTACAAGAACATTTAAACGAAATTTATATACTTGCACTCGTGCAATCAGTCGATCATATTTGATAAAACAGAAACATAGGAACACTTAATTAATATGAATTAAAGAGCTTCATTCACGTAAAATCGAATTATGAGAATCACAATTCATGGGGGTTCTACCAACCCTTGAATTTATACCCGATTTCATTCTTCAGTTTTGTTAATTAATACTGTACATATGGCAAGATCATAGCTAATAGGAAATGATTCATGAAGCTACGTCTGAAAAAAGTATCTCTTGAGAAACTGGAACAATTCCACAACTTACCTGAAATCCAAAAACCAACTAAACGCGTGAAAAGAGACGTGACCGATCGCCGGGCGGCTAGCGAGCCGATCTTTTGGTGAAGACCCTCAGCAATTTGGCAATATGAAAACTTCCTCCACCACTCACTGTCTTGTCAGCTTTCTCGATTACATATACCGCCATCTCGAGAAACGAAAAACGTCTGTAGCTGTCGCCTTCATTGACTTCACTAAAGCATTCGACCTAGTCGACCACAATATAATCATCAACAAAGCTATTGACCTCGGGCTTCGGAGAAGTCTTATACCATGGCTTACAGACTTCCTCAGTGACCGACGCCAAGCTGTACGCTTCCGAGGGCTGTCTCCACCTTTCAGTCACTCACCTGTGGCGTCCCCCAAGGCACCAAGATGGGACCACTCTGCTTCCTTATGCTCATCAATGATGCCCTAAGAGAAACCCCTGCTCGCTGGAAATATGTCGACGACTCCACCATTGGGATCAGCGTCAACAATTCTGCTCCCGACTATACCGCCCTTCAGGATTTATTGAACAGTCTCCAAAACTGGGCCACCAACAACCATGTCACCATCAACCATACCAAGACCATGGTTATGTACATCAACCTCTCTGACATTGTCCCACCTCCTTCCATTACTTTAGGTCCGAACACACTCCAGGTTGTAGATTCCACGAAGCTCCTCGGCGTCACCAAACAACAAACTAAATTGGAAACCACACGTCAGTGAAGTTGTCAAATCCTCCAGTTTCCGTCTCCACCTCCTCCGCCGACTCAAGTCCCTCGGAGTTCCTGCACCCGAGCTCCTCAGTGTTTACACAACATTCATACTTCCCAAGCTCACCTATGCCTCCCCCACCTGGTCTTCCTCCCTAAATGCCACACAACGTAAACACCTAGAAAAAGTGCAAAAGAGGGCATGCAAGATTATTTGCTCCCCTTCCTACTCCACATATCAAGAAGCGCTCAACACACTGACCCTTTCGACTCTCACTGACCATCACCACGACCTCATCTGCAAATTTGGTAAGAAGTTTCTACACCATCCTCGACACCTGCTCCTACTACCACCTGAGATTCCTAGCCCGAGAATTGCTGTTCGACACCACAACCGCATCCAGCCCATACGTGCACGAACTGATCGCTATAAGAACAGCCCAGTCCCAACCATTGTAAAAATTATCAATAACTTGTAATAAACCAGTGTATTCACTCCCAGTAAATACTACTTCTTACACTGTCACTATGCTGAAATACAATGTAGTTTGAGCTTTTCCCCATCTAGTTATTATATATCTTATTTGTATCACTTATGTTACTTGTATATTATTTGTAATTCGAAACCCATTCCCCAAATATGTAATTGTATATTTTCAGCCTTCTGGCTGCCAAGCTCTTTCAATAAACCGTTAATTATTATTATTATTATTATTATAAATGAGAGACGTGACCGATCGCCCAAGCGGCTAACAAGCCGAACAGTGGCGAAGAGGATAAAAGTAAAAAAAAGTTTATTTAACCTTTATAACGTTGTTTTGAGAGCATTATTCGTATTCATCTTTACAGTTTGAATTTTCTATCAATTACATCTATCGCTATGTATTTGTCTTAGTAATGACTATCTTTTTCTGTTTACAGCATATAAAACAGTATCTTATCTTGAAAGAGCTCACACTCAGTGCCGTCACAAAACACTGGTAAATTGTTCCAAAAGATTACAATTCTCACTCCGAAAGTTTGCCCTTACAATTTTCTGGACTTTTCAGCCAAGACTGGAGTCGTGACTTGTGGGACTGACGTCCGCAGGAATGGACATTTACTAGTTCATTTTACCGGCGTTTACTTCCACTAACGTTCATCTTTTCTGGCGATCATATTCACTGGAGAGCATCTTTCGTAGCGTTCTTTTTCACTGGCAATCACTTACATTGGCATTTACTTTCACTGGCTTCCATATCACTAGCATTCAGGTTTACTGGTATTCATTTCCTCTTACACTTCGTGACATTGAACCCAGCCATTTTTGAAGCCGAGAGGTCTCTGTAGCTCTTCAGTGATTGGTTTATAATTTCCCTGAATAACTTGGCATGGTCCACAAACAATTGTATGGGCCCAGTGCACAGCCGCCATGAAGAGTTTATGAACCATGCTGGACACTTCCCCCGAATTCCATACCCTTTGTTTAATTCTCAGCCTTTCATGGGGTACAATGTCAAAAGCCTAGGCAAAACCCAGGCATACTGTATATTGTCAACAAAGAATAGTACCAATATGAATTTACACATGTAATAACTACAGGTACCTTATTAAATTTTTTGTTTACTTCTTTAAAACCCCGTGAAAGATCAAGTTTAAGGGGTGGTTAGTTTTCAGGCTGTTTAATTTGAGGCAAAGACCAGTTAGCAAATGGGAGGGGAGAAGGGGGGGGGGGTTGTAAGATCTTCAGGGGATCCACGTACTAAATTGTGAACGGCCTTAATTCTTGGCTGCTAAACTAATAACAGGCATTTCTCCCAAGTTTTAAGATGCCCTCCTCAATGCTTCACCAATTAAGAACTGGTGCAGTGGACATGCTATCGACTGGTTCTCACATTTTTCAAAACCTCTTGCTTTGGGTATCATTAATTACTCCAGCTGATTCATGATTAAATTGTTACATAAAGAAAAGCAAAGACATCTAAAAAATCTGACATTTATTTTAGGGATTTTATAAACAATGTTTCCAAGGATAACAAAATTATCTACATTTACTTCTTATCTACACTTTGTACAAACATTCAACAACGTTAAGTCTATTACTTTATATGAATTATAACACATATTCATACTATGATGTGAGGATGACATGAAAATGAACTATGTATTTCATTCAAAATGAAGAATAGTCTTGGAATGATATTCATAGACCTTGTGCAACAGAAGAAAGCACTTTCATGCAAAATATTCTATTATATCAACAATTTGATGCCCTTAATATGCCCATGTCTTTGGATCTAAGAACCAAATCATTAGTGTTAAAACACCAATTTTACTCTTATTGGAATTCTTGTCTGTGTTGAATTTAACAAATAATCTTCGGGTCTGTAATCTTAATACCTAGATCTACTTATTCTTACATCATCCCACCCATTCCTCCCATCCCGCCCATACCTCCCATTCCTCCCATGCCGCCCATTCCTCCCATGCCACCCGCTGGCTCTTCTTTAGGGATCTCTGTTATAACGGACTCGGCTGTGGTGAGAAGTGAAGCCACACCGGCAGCATCTGTGAGGGCTGTTCGTACAACCTGTGAAATACAGAAAAGTATAAAACACTGATCACAAAAACCAAGTACAGTATTCCTAACATTCAAAATTGCATTTACAAGATCAGCAACGTCTGCCACTAAAAACCAAATACTGAAAATAATAAACACAACCTTAAAGCACATTCAAACCAAGAACATCTTATAACTTCAGGGGATACCTACATAATGAAAATATTAATTCCATCTCAAAATTCTCTTGACCTCCTAAGTGCAAAAGACTAACAATATGCAATGTTAATGAAATTATTTTATCAAGCACTTCACCAAAGAACATCATACTACCTAAATTTCAAGGACAAAAAATTCATCAAATTCATGGTTCTCTGCAGAACATATTTTGTGCTATCTTAAAACAGACTTCGGGTGATGGGAGAAGTGAGAATTAATCGCGTTCCCTTACTGTATATGCAAGACTTACCTTTGTTGGATCAATAATGCCAGACTCAATGAGTTTGGTGAAGATCCCAGTGGCAGCATCATATCCAAAATCACCAGAACCTTCCATCACTTTGTTGACAATCACTGAAGCATCTACACCAGCATTTTTAGCAATGGTATAACACGGTGTCTGTATGGCCTTACGTACAATATCGATTCCCATTTCCTGGTCCTTATTAGCAGGCGTCAGTTGATCCAGTGCAGGCAGGCAACGAATCAGAGCAACTCCTCCTCCAGGGACAATACCTTCCTCAATAGCAGCTCTAGTTGCACAAAGAGCATCATTGACACGGTCTTTCTTCTCATTAACTTCGACCTCTGAAGATCCACCAACCTTGATTACAGCAACACCTTTAGACAATCGGGCCATTCTTTCTTGCATCTTTTCCTTTTCATATTCAGAGCTACTCTCTTCTATCTGCTCCCTAATTTGATCAATACGCCTTTCAATATCAGATGACTGGCCTTTGCCTTTCAAGAGGAGGGTGTCATCCTTTGTGATCTGCACCTCTCCAACCACACCAAGATCATGTAGCTGAAAAAATTAAAAAAATTAAAATCAGTGGCTTCAGTTTCAAAATAACCTTTATTTACCAATAATACCCTTGTTAGGTAATTGTAACAAAAAATCTTTATGTTCAATGGTTTTCTCTATAGTGATTTTCCAATACAACTTCCATATCAATCTTACTTTTACACAACTAAAGTTCCAAATATAATGTACTGCACATTCCAAAATAATGAAAAGATATGACCAAATTAATCTACCTCTTTGGAACAATGCAGTAAAAAAAAAAAAGAGCCAGAAGTTTTTTTAAGGTATACTGTAGACATGAACTCCAGAGAAAAACTGATTGCACAAAAAAGGCACTATACTATAACTGTACCATAGTCTACCATAGTTCAAAACATCTTAATTTTGATGCATAACACTGCTAGAAGCTTAAAGAAGTTATATAATAATCACCAGTGATTTTACAAACTACTACAGTATATTTAATCTTAGTTGATGAACATATGTATGTTTCAAGTACAGTACTGTACATATACTGTGTGTCTCAGTAGATGAAGCCCCACGAACTATCCAAAATAGCACACTCAAGGCACATTATGTTCTAGCTAACATGGTACGTATTAGGATGCCTGTGTTAAATTTCTTGTATACTGTACTTCAAAATGAGGACTAAACACCTTGGAAACTTTCTCAAACTACGACTCAAAGTTGAGAACCGCGTGGGCAGTGAAAATATCAGTGCCATAAAATCAAGTTTTTACCCCCTCATATTGCATACTTGTTATACAGAACTGTATACTACCCAAAGCAACCATTATTTTTTTTAACATACACAGTGTTTGAAAACCATACCAACATGCAGGTTGTTACCTGCTAACACTTGAGAAAAAACATGAACTAAGTAATTAAGTCGATATTTGGATAAAACTTACTTGCACATCTTCAATCTTCACCATACTTGCTTCGTCGTTGAATACAATAGCACCTGTGGAAATGGCAATGTCTTGCAGCGTGTTCTTACGGTTGTCGCCAAAACCAGGGGCCTTAACAGCAGCAATTTGTAAACCAATCTTCAGCCGATTCACAACAAGTGTGCTTAGTGCTTCCCCATCAATATCTTCAGCAATGATCAAGAGAGGCTTCCTGGCAAGGAACATTTTACAATAAGCTACAAAATCTATCACAAAATGCATTACTGGCATATACAGTACTTTATTCCATTTGTTTTTAGATTTATACAAAATGTTTGACCCTACTATTTAAATAAAATCTGCTGCCAAACCTTACCGCTGTGCATTGGAAAGTTCTAGAGCTGGGATGATTGACTGGATTGATGAGATTTTCTTCTCTGAGAGAAGCACAAGGGCATCTTGAAATTCAACCTTAGCCCCCTTGCTGGTGTTGATAAAATAGGGCGATATATATCCACGATCAAACCTCATGCCTTCAATCACCTGAGAAAATAAAAAATTAATAAAATATATGATTGGTTAACTAAAGTCATCAACCCAACATACAAAAAAGAAATCAGAAGTGTTGTACAGTACTGTATATGTGTCATTCAAAGAATTTATTAAGGGGAATCCTAAGGATTCATCATAAATAAACACAAAATAACCAAACAATCAGCCACAGTCTCAGAAACATGCTGTGCAGTGAGAGGATACAGTCATGTGTAATGAATATCAGGCCAGTGAACAGTGGAAGGCGAGACTTGTAGGCAATATGCACATAGTATAATTTGAATCCGTAATAAATGAAATTTAAGGACGAGTCTAAGCAGTTGTGCCTTCAGTGTGACAAACCATACTAGAAAACAATTGTTTAGTCGTACTGATTCAGCATCACAAAATCCCTACAGGCATATACTATACAGTAACAGTTTTATTAATTTCACTTTGATCTTACTCCACTCAATGATTGGTGAATGAATAAATAAAATTAAGCAACTTCAAGACGAATTCTATATCAAATGTTACCGAAATAATATTTAAGAGCCCGATTTAGAAACTTAAGGCGATTAAACCAGCTCTACCTCAGATATCCACATACAATTTATCACTCCTGCTACAGGATGTCAGTTTCAAGAGCGGAGGGAACTAAATGTGACTTTTCTAACCCCAAGTGTAATGCCAACCAACCCAACAGATTTCCCTTACCCCCAGAATTGTCTACAATGCTGACCATTAGCAGTGTTACAATCTCTTAGCATGGATTGTGCCTTTGTATGATTCATATCTTGACATTACCTTGTTCATTGTAATCATGCTGTAAACATTGGCCACATCTTTCAACTTACACCAAAGAGCACTGCTAATTCTTCTTTCGTGGGGTGAAATTCTCATTTGATTATCTAATTTTGTAATAGCTGGTTCTTGGCAACAACTGATCCAGTTGCAAGATGCAGAACTAAGCCATCAGCTGGTATACAAGTTATGACAGTTTTAGTCTGAGATTATCACCCATCATATAACCCTGACTGCCCAATCCAATTATTACCTGTTTGGACCTCTGAAAGCAGCTTGAGATGCTTGTCAATTTGATGACAATGAGATGTGGCTTTGCATTTAACTAAAAAACTTTTCCGAAAGTATACAAAATCTTGTGCACTGCTGGACCAATATTATTGAAAAGCAAGAGATTGTGGGAGAGAGAGAGGAGAGGAAGGGGGAGGGGGGGAAGCCCCCCCCCCCCACTTTCGGTTTTCTGATAAAGGGTTGTCAACCTGTACCTAATCATCTCTATTCCATTCTCTTTTTTAATACTTATTTCATCAATCCTCAAAACTCCCACAGAAAATCACAAGTGTCCATCTCTATTGTTCTAATCTTTGATCTCTCATTGTCAAACAATTATATCCACTTGAATTAGTGTGGACAAATACTCTCATGCATCTAAACCAATGTTCCGTTCATGCTTTATGGTCCTCTGCCTTATGCTTTGCAATTCTGTACTTTTAACAACACCTTCAATTCTTTAATTCCCCTCCTTATATAACATAACTCCCATACCCTTGAGCTTGTTCATAACCTCTTTAACACCTCTCCTTTAAGACACTACACGATCACGTTCCTCTTAAACCATCACTGTCCTTAGCTCTTTCCAACATACAGTACTTTAAACTATTATATTACCATTCCCTTCGACATTTTCTTTACTCAGCCAATAGTACATCATTCAGATGCATTAAATGTAACCAGTCGTTGTATTTAATCCCAATTTCATTTCAGTCTGTTATTTAACTCAAACTATTGTACTACTAATTACAAAATATGAATGGTTTCCATTATAACTCGACACCCTCCAAATTGTACCACGTACAAGGTAAACACACTTAAACATTGACCTAAAATGCTCTTTCCAAGTACATGAAAACCACAATGTATATTTCTAGCCTAAATATATTTCTATGATTGTCCTTATCCAGAATAATTGTTTGCCAAACACAATCCCACTGACATACACAATTTATGTATCCTTAGTCCATTCTCATTTTCTCAATCCATTCACAAATGGTACAAAGCAAATTTTTTATTCTAGTACAGTACATTACCTCAAGTTCATCTTTCAAGGTCTTGCCATCCTTCACAGTTATTACTCCACCACGGCCAACCTGTTGGGAAATATTACTTCATTAACCCAACTGTCAATAACAACCAGACATGATTCAAGTTTCTTACCTCAGATAAGACCAATCAATCATTAACTTCATGATGGGGGATCACAATCTCATCATAATAATGTTACTTCAAGTACAATATTTATTTTTCACAAAGTAATTAAAATAATGTTTAATATTCTTCCTTATAGTAAAGGTACTACAATCCTCACTTTCTCCATTGCAGCAGATATCAGTTCGCCAACATTCTGGTCCCCATTAGCAGATATTGTGGCAACCTGCGCAATCTCTGCTGGTGTGGTCACTTGCTGGGAAAGACCTTTGAGATGGTCAACAACAGCATCAACAGCCACCATAACCCCACGCCTTAAACAAAAGACAGCTAAATCAAACACCAGGAAAAGTGAATTACAAAAAATTACAATAGATTATCCATCAGAATTGGATCTCGGTGATCATAGGTTCTCACTAGAATAATAATAATTCATCATTAATAAAGGTAATTCTGGCCATGCAATAATTTATTGATGTTTAATATTGAAGTTTTTCTGTTAATACTTGTGGACAAGTTGCCAGAATGTATGTTACCGTAATTTATTTATTTATTTACTTACCGAATCTCAATTGGATTGGCACCTTTGCTAATTCTATCAAAGCCTTCCTTGGCAATGGTGCGAGCTAACACCGTGGCAGTTGTCGTGCCATCTCCTGCTTCTTCATTGGTATTGTTTGCTACATCTTGTACAAGCTTTGCTCCAATGTTCTGGAACTT